TGCTTCCAAAGACTCCTTAGGAAACTGACCAGAAGTAGCAGCCTCATTTGCTAACTGGCACAGGTGTGGGGCCAGTGATGTGGTAAATATTTTGTAGTATTCCGCACTGAAACCATCAGGTCCTGGAGCTTTGTGCAAAGGTAGGTCATGGATAACCTTGGTGACCTCCGATACAGAGAAAGGCGCAGAAATGGCATCTGAAAAATCAGAGGGAAGTAAGGGGAGTTGCACTGAGTCAAAAAATGTATATATGTCCTCCAAGGTGGGACTAGGGGCATCAGATGAATCCTGTAGATTATATAACTGGACGATCCGTCCTGTCCAAAATGTGGATTCCAACAGGGCTCACTAATACATCTATTATGGAGATGCCCTAAGCTGGTCAGATACTGGAGCCAGGTACTCGAAATGATTAATTCTATTTTTGATGTCTCTATTGACCCCTCCCCCCTTGCCTGTCTGCTGGGGGGCATAGACGCCCTTAGTCTGACCACTAACTTAAAGACGGCTGTCCATAGGGCTCTTTTTACTGCTCGGAGACTTATCGCCCGTAAATGGATATCGCAATCCCCTCCTACAGTTGCTGAGTGGATACTGGAACTAGATAGGATCACTGCCTTTGAGCGGGTAACATACAAACGGAGAGGGCTAGAAAATAAATTCCTCCTGATTTGGTCCCCCTGGCTGAGCTTCAGATCCCAGTAGTTACAGCGTTTCTATGGGTACGGTTACCCTCTTTGGTATTAAAGGGTATTAAACATCTGTCTCACACTGATACTACTCTTTATACATAGGTGAATGCCTACTATAACTCTATGCCTTACGTTTGACCTGTACGATAATACCTCTGTCATTGTATACCTCCTTTGGGTCTGCGCACCGTGGGGTGCTAGTTTGATACTTGGTGACAGCTCTGTTTTTTTGGTGTTTTCTGTTTTTCTTTTATTATGTCTGTATTATGTAATTGTCAGTTTTGGGATCTGTTTGTGCAAAAATGTTTACTAAACACAATCTGATTTAAAAAAAAGAATAAAATGGTGGCAGCTATAATTTTTAATGTAGCATAATATTAGTGCAGGTTACAGTGTAAATAGATACAGGTGTACAGAGTAAATAGATACCAAACATCTCAAGCTTTAAAATTGTGTGCACCCATGAAATGACAAAAAACGACAGTAGTCAAAATTGTCCATAGGAGACTCTTATAAACTCTTCTTAAGCTTTTGCGTGTCATTAGTTTAGAGTTAACAATTAATAATGGCCCTAGAATCATTACTCTCACTTGGTGGTGCAAGGCAATATCCAACATGGTTGGTGTGTTTTTTTACATAGGCACATTCAAAGCGTGTTTGCGCTCATATGTGCGTTTCCGTGGGAAGGAGGGAAATCTTTGTTTGTTCTTTATTTATTTTTTAACTTTATTAAACTTATTTTACTGATCTTTATTGCTATTAAATAGGGGGCTTTCAAGCCCCGCCTATGTAATAGCACATTATTGGTGACGGTTTAAGGCAATGTTAATTTAGTCGTCTAAAATGTTTTGTAATAGTTTTCATCATCTGCAAGTTTTCACTGATGAAAATTAAGTGGGCTATTCACAAAGCTGCCGTAGGCAGCTGAGTGAATAACTGACCCGAAGTGAAGTGAGCCGAGCGCTATTCGGCTTTTCACTTCAGGCTTGTACAGCTGATTTTAGCCGTACATCGGCTTGCTGCGGCTGGCTTTGGGTTGGCCAAACATGCTACGCATGTTCGGCTGCCCCGAAGTGCAGAAGGAGTTCGACTCAGCCGATCCAACATCTGGATCGGCTGAGCCGAACTTCCGGCAGGCTACTCGCTGCTGTTCGGCCTATTATCATAGATGCCGAACAGCAGTGAATGAATAGCCGAATGCCGCCGAGCAGCATTCTGTGGTACCAAGCAGAATAGAAAAACAGTAAAAAAAAATAGAAAACGATTGGGCGGTGCTAGCAGTGACAGCTACTCATTACAATGAGAGCTTAGCAGAGCCAGCATTTACTTGGTAACCAGGGGACGCTGTTCTGTCATTAGGATGAGAGCTCATCAGAGTCGGCTTTCATATCACCGCCGACTCTGCTAAGCTCTCATTGTAATGACAGATGGGCGTCCCTGGTTACCTGGTAACCGGGGACGCCCATCTGTCATTACACACTGAGAACCCGGTGGAGCTCCGTCGGGTTCTCAGTGTAATGACAGAACGGCATCCTTGGTTACATGGTAACCAGGGTCGCCGTTCTGTCATTACACACAGAACCCGGCGGAGCCGCCGTGATAACCTCATTTGCGCTCAACTAATTGAGAAAGCTCCAATTGCAAATCCCAACATGAAAACAACATGCCAAAATGGCAGCCATAATCTTAAGAGGAGATTGTGCGCACTGGACAGGTGGCATCTGCACTTACTGAAGACATTTTTTCATTAGTACACGGCAGTTCATGTGACACAGGAAAGGCAATGAATCGAATTAGAAAATGTTTGTCATAGTTTTAGTCCTATTATCTTAGTTTTTATTTAGTTTTCATTAGTGAAAACATGCAGATGAGAAAAACTATGGCAAAACATTTTAGTCGACTAAATTAACACTGGTAATATTCCCCTAATGTCACCTTTTACCTCCAATGAAGTTGATCATCAACAGCCACAGAGGCTGGAGAATGACATTTCTGAAACCATCCTCATTCTGGGTTCATTCTTTGGAGATTAGATAAATGGATGTCATCTGGTCTTCCTTCCCTCTAGCAGACCACAGCTCACATACTGGTTCCAGGCCTGCATGAGGGGTACTAGAGCCACCCCACAGTGAAGGGAATTGAATTTGCATCTTACTGGAATGCTTTTACCTTTGGATAATTTAGCATCACCTGCTCTTGTGACAACTTTAAAGTGTGACCAGTACACATAAGTGCTTATGACCTTCTTAATTTTAAACAGTAATTTAAATCTGGTGAATTTGTTTTACCTAAAAGGTATAAGGTTTCAGTTGAGACACTGATGGATTCAGTAGATGTATTGGTGGAGCATTCCATTCTATATTATATACAAAAGTAATCCACAACAAGACGTCCTAAACATGTAGAAAGCGTGTGACGTCACAGGCAGTGTGGGCAATAATGTGCCTGCACCCATCGCATAGGGTCAGGTGTCCAAGCAACCAAGGGCAGCGTCCCCGCAACTCCGCCCCCCGGCCCGCACACCACCATCCAGGGACAAATAGTATGCAGTGGGAGGCGGTGGCCGCAGCGACGCCTTTAATAAGAGACAGCCCGCCAGCCCAGCCCAAAATTGTTATGTTTTTTATACTTATGCAATGGTTTGTGTCTCTTTAAACCCCAATTTTCTAATCTTGTGCATTATTTATATACAAAAGTAAACTGTGTGAAGAAAGATATTTATGGATTTTTTATTTCAGCATGTGGATTTTTTATTCCCTATTGCAGTACGTGGATTTTTTGCAATTATGCACTTATGTTTGATGCACTATAATAGATAATGATGTATGATATTTGATATGCACTGAGCACTTTTAAAAGGATTGTTTAATATTTTTATCATGTTTTTCTCTATATTGTACATTATGTATTCTTAGATATTTGTTATGCACTGGGCAAGTGCTATATAGGGGGATTATTTCATTAGCAATAAAAACTTTGTAAGTGTATATACACTTTGTAATTTTCAAATATAAATAAAAGCAACTGGGTTAGTCACTGTGGGTCAGTTGTACCTTAGCCCTATTGTAAACATTGAAAAAGGTATAAATGGACAATGGAACTTTTCATGTACTACTTCAATAGACATTAAACATATTTAAAACAATTTAATTTATTGTAGTAGAAAATCCATAAAATATACATCTAAATTCAGTTTTGGCACTTAGCCTTATAACTAACAATCAACTAATTACCTCTGTACATGTAAAATATATTTTTCTACCCCAGCTGTCAGCCAATTTCAAATACAGCATGAATACCGTATATACTCAAGTATAAGCCGTCCCGAATATAAGCCGAGGTACCTAATTTTACCAAAAAAAACTGGGAAAAAGTATTGACCTGAATATAAGCCGAGGGTGGGAAATGAGGCAGCTACTGGTAGATAGATACCAATAAAATTACATTAATATTTATTTAAAAGAAAAATAACCTAGCTCTGTAAGTGGAAAAGGGGGTACAGGGCTACATATCATGTACTACGGATCATTTCACCCATTCATATTAGCAGAGGATAATTGTAAATCTATTGTTCAGTGCACTCTATATGTAGTATATAGTACATGTACATATAGAGTGCCTGCAACAATACATTTACAATGATCCTCTGCTAACATGAATGGGTTAAATGATCCATAGTACAGGGCTACATACAGATCATTTAATACATTCATGTTAGTATAATTGTAAATGTATTGTCTGCACTGTATTAGCAGTATATACTCTATATAGAGTATATACTGCTAATACAGTGCAGACAATACACATATAATTGCTTAATGAATCTCTCTCTCTATTATCTAATCCCTGATAGATCTAATTGGGTAGGTCACGTCAAATAAGGTCAATTCAAAGTCAACAGTATTTCAATATTCTTAGAGAGTATATTTTCACATTTTTAGTGCTGCATCTACACTCAGAGCTGCTTTAATTCTTCGTGGCATTGATTCAACAAGGTGATGGAAACATTCCTTAGAAAGTTTGGTCCATACTGGCATGATAGCATCACACAGTTGCTGCAGATTTGTCAGTTGCACATCCATGATGCGAAGCTACACCAGCCTGAACCATTGATACAAGGCAGGACAATAGGTAATATTGGTGGAAATATGGGTTAAACAGCAGTTGTGTTTTCATATGATTTATTATATTTTAGACACCCAACTTTATATCGTCAGGTACTTTAAATATTAAAAACCTGTGTGCTTGAAACCTTTAATTAATGCATGTAATTAATTACCTTTATCTTTGTTCTATCTCTTTTGGAAGTTTGTTGTTATCACTAGTATTGTGACCTACAATCCTCTTTCATATGAGGACTACCACTTCCCTCCGTGGGCTAATCGGACTGGATGGGCCATTGCATTGTCATCCATGATTTTAGTGCCCATCTATTTTATCTACAAATTCTTCACTGTGCCTGGGACCTTTAAACAGGTAAATGTTGCTTTTCAGTGTGTCTATGTTTTCTTATGTTGCTATTTGTAATGCCTCTGGGTTATGTAATGCCTCTGGGTTATGAAAACAAATTTCTTGATTAAGAGCTGCATGACTGGTATGTATGACATGGTCAGTGGGGCAAAATGTTGATGCTGTTTATGGACGTATTACAGTCATACTTTCAAAATCAGTGGTCACTACATAGAGACATTTGATGCTGCTTACATAGAGACATATGAAACAGTACCGCATAGGGCTGTACAGAAAGGTGAGACATACAAGATAGACCATGCAGCAAAACATATAACCCAGTCAGGATCAGGAGAGAATAAAGGAGGAGAAAGAGGGTAAGTACTGATTTTGAAAAGCAGAGGATACAAACCAAAAGTTGGCACCTGCAGCTGTCAGACTACCTGAACAGTGACTGCAGCTGATTTGCTGCAGTAACTGTTTGGCCAACAATTGTCAGCCCAGTTCCATCAATAGAATTTAATTAAAAAATGTACTTTTATGGAAAAAAGTGGTGTCAGCAGGGCCACCTATAGCTCAAATTTAAGGAGACTATTGTCAGATTTTCTCTCTTTTTATGTTTACATCCGGTGTGGTCTTTCTTTGGGTGTCCACATCTCTACCTGGTGACATGGACACTTCCTATAGCCTATCCAGCAGAAGGGTCCTCTCAAGGTCCAGAAGGGGATTGATGTCAGCACAGGGGAACTGCAGGGGACTGGCCAGCAAGGGAGCATCAGCAGCGATGGGTTACCTGTAACCCACACCTGGAAATGGTGTTGTTGAGAGACTTAAGTGGGTATACCTTACTTCTCAAGGCAAGGAAGGTAACGACCCTTTCAGGATAGGTTAGTGGGGATGGGAGAGGGTTACATTTTTGGTTGGTGTGGGGCTTTAAAAATATTTAAAAATTTGCTCTTAAAATGCACATATACCTCAAAACACAGAGTTGTGAATGTAGCCTAGGTTTTAAAGGTGAACTGTATACATTCCTTCCTATTTAGTGTATGCTAACATACTATATTTCAGTGTTTAGTGTATTCTGGAGAGTTAAGCCACCTAAGGTGTTCTGACATTGATCTGACTTTCCTTTTCTCTATTATTGTTCAAGTTCTGTGGATGAAGTCATGAAAGCAGCGTCAGCCAGGCAACTAGCATTTTAACATGAAAGTTAGGAACAGCTGCCTTTTTTTTTTCTCTCGGTACAGGTTTTATTTGCAATATTACGCAGAAGCGCCAAAAGGTTGTGAAGCACTATATACATTGCAACAGTGACCTCTAGTGACTGAACAAATGTATTAGAACATTGAAAAAGTAGTAAAGAATAACCTCTCCACTTTGTTTTGTAACAGTTCATTGAGTCAAAATTCTAATCTATACAAATAAATATATAAAAGGAAAATTACCATTTTACCAAAAGTGTCAATTTTTGCTTTTGCTCTCCCTTCCTTCTGGAAATTGTTAAAGAATTGCATGAAAGGTTATTAATAAATAATAAAATGCAGTAATGTTCTCATTTCACATGGAATTATTTTCATGATTTTTAAAAAGGATGATTTGCACCATCACCACTGCATTTTCTAAATGCTCTACTGTTTAAAATTGCATAAAATGCACAGGCAATATGGGGAAGCAGGAGGTGGTGCTATGTTGTGTCGAGTAAGGTAGGGTACAATCATCTACACCATCTCCAACTCTGCAGACAACTTGTGTTTAGGTTCCCCAAGTGATGATCAGTCCCTGGATCGATTTAATTTATATGAAGCTTGGCTGAGATTGTACATACAATTCTGTAGTAAATATTGCAATATATAGTACAGCAGGAGTATGCAACCTAGGAACACCAGCGGTTGTGGAACTACAAGTCTCATAAGGCATTGCAAGATACTGACAGCCACATGCATGTCTCCCAGAGGCAGAGGCATTATGGGATTTGTAGTTTCACCACAGCTGGAGTGACAAGGTTTGCCTACCCTTGTAGAACAGCCTCTATTCTTCCTTATAAAGGATGTATAACAGTACAGAATGCAATCCTAACTCATGTGCTAACATGCTTTAAAGAAGCTTCACCTACTGTTCTGTACACCTGCATTTAGGCTTTTAAAATCTGGCAACTGGAATGCAATTTAGCATTCATTTCAAATACTAAATTCTGTTCATGTTATGCAAAAATTGAATTGCATGAAAACTCACAGAACACATTCACAAGAACCATTGGTATTTTAAGAAATGTGCAGAAGGTGAAAGTTTAAATATTGTTAACTAATGGCAAACAGTGTACAAGCAGGTTATAATATTCTAAAAGCCTTATAAAAGGATTTACATTATTACATAATTAGTCAGGTTGAAAAAAGGCACAAGTCCATCTAGTTTACCAATAGAAGGAAAACCTCCTCAAACAGAATCATATGCCCACAGTTGATCCAGAAGAAGACAAAACACCCTTATAAAGTTTAGTTAAAGTAGTACTAAACTCTCAACTTTTTTTCCAATAATGTACCCAGATCAAACAAAACAGGAAAATTGTATTTCATACTTACTGCAATTTTCCTTTCCTATCCAGCTCCATGGCAGCACACGAGTGGGTTAATCCCTCCCTCTTCCCACTAATCAGGATTGTAACTCATACAAGCTGAAAGAGTCCCCTGGCTTGCCGTTCCATAACTTGACTACTACACGGGTGGGCATTATGCTGCCATGGAGCTGGACAGGGAAGGAAAATTGCGATAAGTATACAATTTTCCTGTTTTCCTGTCGGCTCCATGGCAGCACACGTATGGGAATCAACTAGCCAAATGGGGGGTATGCTTAAAAATCTTTTTAATCCCAACGCATAGCAGAAGAAATAACCCTACAGCCAAATCTAACCGTAGTTAAGGCAGCTGGATCTACACAGTAGTGTGTCATGAACGGGTGCGGAGAAGACCATGTGGCCACTTTACACACAGTCTCAAAGGAAACACGACCGGCTGCAGCCCAAGATGTGGCCAGACCCCTCGTGGCACGAGCAGACACCCTACTCGGTACAGGTATGTGCTTGGCCTCATATGGTAACTATATCGCCTTCACCATCCAGGATGCTATGAGCCCACAGGATGCCTTAGCACCCTTCCCGGCACCTGTCGGAACAATAAAGAGATTATCCGTTGACCTGAGCCTTTCCGTGGCCGAAATATCATCCACGTCCAAGCGGGTAAATCGGCTTCCATCTGACTTGAAGGTTAGTAATAGACATGTGCGATTCGGTTCGTTCCGAAATTCGTTTCGGACGAATTTTCGGAAATTCGGAGATTCGGATGCATCCGAATTCCGAATTACAGCTAAGACGAATGCAAGCTAATCCGAAAGTCCCGATTTCCCAAAATTCGTTATTGGACGAATTTCGTTGCAGCAAAATGACATTAGGAAAAAAAAAAATGACAACATTTTCCCTCTAAAACAATTCTAGGGTTAAAGGTTCAGAGTCAATAGTCTAGTGGTTAGCATACAGGTTTGCCATTGTCAAGGTCGCAGGTTCTAATCCAGGGCAGGGAGAGTAATAGAAAAAGTTTTTTTTTCTTTGCTTTTGAATTGGCATTCGCCTAACATTCCTACCAGATCTAAAGGGTCTGGTATGAATTGGGTAGGAATGTTAGGAGGGACCCCCCCAGTTATAACACAAAAAAAGTGCATGGGGTTCCCCACAAAATCCATACCAGACCGTTAAGGTCTGGTAGGAATTTTAAAGGGGAACCCCAGCCCCCAAAAAATGGGGGGAAAAAACGTGGGGTCCCCCCTACCAGTCCTACCAGACCCTTGATCCGAGCACTGGCCCGGCATACCCTAATGTCATTTTGCTGCAACGAAATTCGTCCAATAACGAATTTCGTCCATAATCCGAATTCGAAAAACGAAACTAAACTAAACAAATTTTTTTTTCTTTGTTTCAAAACTAAACTAAACTAATTTTTTGCTGGTGCACATGTCTAGTTAGTAATACAATTTCTTGGTATATGTGAAAGTCAGTAACAACCTTGGGAATGAACCCCACCATGGGGACTAGAACCACTCTATCTGCCAGGAAAGTGGTGAAGGGTTCTTTAAACCCGAGAGCAGCCAACTCTGAAACCCGTCTGGTGGAGGCGATAGCAACCAGAAAGGCAGCCTTCAACGTGAGGCGCCACAGAGCCATGCCATCCACAAACACTTCAGAGGCTAGAAAGTCTAGGACTAAAGGAAGATCCCATTTAGGGAACAAAGGAGTCCTTTGCGGCTGACCCTCAACACTGCCTTGAAAAAATTGTATGACCAGACAATTGTAGGCAAGACGGAGGCCAGTATAGGCTGATGTCGCTGAAGTCTGGCCCTTGAGAGAGTGCTCAAACTCAATACAACTCCAACCCTTCCGTAGGAAGTCCAGCATATGCCTGATCTGTGGATCCAATGGCAGAAAACCATGGTCTGTGTAAAACTGGAATTTCAGCCATACTTATGCTATACATAAGATTAGTACTGGGCTTCCTAAAATGAAGAGTATCAACTACCCTATCTGAGCAAACCATCGTGAGAAGTCTCCGCCTCTTAATATCCATGCCACTAGGCAAAGTTTCACAGGTGCTGGGTGAAGGATCGGACCGTGAAAGAAGGTTCGATAAATGACTGTGGAAACAGTGGAGGCCACATACTCATCAGGCGGAGGAGAGGGTACCAATGCCTCTTGGGCCAGTTCGGAAATACTGCCAGGACAGCCGGCTGCTCTTTCCGGAGTCTCCTCAAAATGTATAGTATGAGCGATACTGGCGGGAAGGCGTAAGTCATCCGAGATGTCCACTCTGCTGTCAGGGTGTCCGTCACCACCGCTTGAGGACACAGGACACCATGTCCTGAAATACTTGATCGAGGAGACACCACACGTTGTTGTCCAGATGAACTCTGGATAGAGAATCTGCTAGGAGATTGAGGGGACCCGGCACGTACACTGTTGATAAGTGAAGAAGATGGATCTGAGC